TTCTGATATTCTCTGCTTTCAGCCAAGATCCATCGGACATCAGCATTGATACCTCTCATTCCATGGCCTCTTCTGAATCCAGCTTGAACCTCTGGAAGTTCTCTGTCAATGTATGATTGTAGCCGTTTCTATATTACCTTTAGCAAAACTTTAGTCTCTTGAGATATCAAAGAGATTGTCTGATGATTCCCACACTGTGTTGGGTCACCTCTCTTTGGAATGGGCACAAATATGGGTCTCTTCCAATCAGTCGGCCAGATAATTGTCTTCCAAATTACTTGGTAGAGATGAGTGAGTGCCTCCTGTGACTCTCACTTTCTTGAAAGATTTCAAAATTTATTCCATTAATTCCTGGTGCTTATTCTTTGCTAATTCCTTCAATGACATTAGAAGATGCCTAAAATCTCAACAAACCCATAGGTTTTCCAAAATCAAGAGTATTAAATCAAGATACTCATGCAATGTTTAGATTTGCTCTTGGGAGGAGATCCTCATTTTATGATGTTTGAACACATTCTTTCCCTTTCTGGATCGCTTCCTTCAAGGGAGAGTATATTTTTACTTCAATACTAGTTTTCCTCAGGTTTGGCCTGTCAAGCATCTCAACTGTGGACAAATCTAGCTTATCACTCATTTTGCCTAAAGACTTGAAGATTCAATAAGGCCAACCCTTGGACTGATACTGCCTCTTATTCTGGGCTAAATTTGATAAAAAGTATTTTTGAACACAGTATTGTACACATTACTAAAATGTTCATGCCTTATCTATATCAACCTATTCAAGCCTCTCTATTTTCTAATTGAATCCAGACTGGAAGTTATCCTGGCCTTCTTTATAAAGGATTAGATTGATGCTACCCCAAACAAATTGCCAAGGGCTGCCAAAATAACAAACAGATCTTTGTTGAAAGAAGTGTAGCCAGAGTGCTCCTTGGAGGCAAGGATAGCCAGACTTCGTCTCTCATACTTCTAACATATTGTCAGAAGGGACCAATCACTGCAGAAATATGTCATGTTTGGTAGGGTGGAGGGTCAGAGAAAAAGCGAAACACCCCCAGCTAGATGGACTGGCAAAATGGCAACATCAATGGGCTCAAATGTGGCAATAATTGTGAGGTTGACCCAGGACCAGGCAGTGTTTCATTCTGTTGTGCATAGGGTTGCTATGAGTTGGTACTGAATCGATGGCACTTACCAAGAACAACCCCAAACAACTACGTGTTATGATGGAAGTGTACTATATTTGAACTGTCCATTATCTAAGTCATTAACAAATATATGGCTACTGAGCACTTGAAACGTAACTAGTGTGAATGAGGATCTTCATTTAAATTTTTATTTATTTTAATTAACATATATTGTCACATGTGTTTACGATGTTAAGCAGACATTAGGGTGAGTAAGGTAAAAGGGTGATGAAATCTCAGGGGTAATCAACCATTATCTGCTGGCTTCAGAAATAACTGCATGTGAACGAATACAGTGGGGATCTATTACCAGAGGGGTTGATGCTCCATCTTTTTCCTTCAACTTGTGTGCCATTGAGACAGTGCCAATTCATAACAACCCTGCTGTATAGTGTTTTTGAAGAGTGTTTAGTGGGTTAGTAGTCCAAATCCGGTACTTCTCCTACAGGGCCATACCAGAACTCCTTCAATTGGTGTACTTTCAAAATCTTTCAAATTATGATAGATTCATTTCTATACCTGGTCAGAAAATGACATGATTCTTTTCATTAGATTAGGTGAAGTTCAGCAAACTAGGGGACTATGTATTGGAAAGCAAAAGTATTGACTGAGGAAACAACAGATGCCATGTATATTATAGACATTAGTTTCTTTATCTGTAAAATGTAGTGTTTGTTTCAAAAACCGTTTTGTCCCTTCTGACTGTAAAACATAATGAGTATTAGGATATGATTATAGAATCAATTTTCTTCCCTCTCTCATACTCATACTCTTTAACTGTACTTTATTTTTGTCCCCAACCTTTATTCCTGAAGAAGCTCTGAGCATAATATAATTTTGTTATTCATTCATGTTCATTTATTCTTTCAACAAATACTTACTGGTAAGCTCTATTTGCCTAATATTTTGTAATATGCTGATCATACAAATTTGAAGAACATAATAAAGACTATGAAGAGCTTTTTAAAGCAGTCCTGGGTGGTGAAAATAGCTCTAATTGGTAACTGAAAGACTGGTGGTTTGTGTCCACTGAGAGACACCTTGGATGGAAGACTTGGCAATCTACTACTGGAAAAAGTGTCATTGAAAACAGTATGGAGTACAGTTCCATTCTGATATACATGGGATTGCCATGAGTCATATATGATATGACAGAAACAGACTTGGTTATTTTGGCTGCTGGGTACATAGGAACACATTGAAAGAACAATTTTCCTGAACTTAGAGGAAGGGGTTTTTAAGAAGACTCCTGAGGAAGTTAAGTTTAAAGATGAATTTCTTAAGTAGGATTTGGAAGGAAGAATGTACTGTCATTTATTAAAAGGAATGGATATTAGAGAAAACACAGGTTTTGGGGAGAAAGATAATATTTTGTTTTATAGATGTTATTTTCTAGGTATATGTTGGAGATATCTATTAAGAGAGAGAAAAAAACAGCAAATAGTGCTAATGCCCTTAAATTGTGGATAATCCAGTATAAAAGTACTGGTGTGGCACTGTAGGATACCATTGAACCGAGAAATCTGTTTGAAACACAGAGTAGGTGTTTCAAACCCACTGGCTGCTTCTCAGAAACTCTATACAGGGTCTCTGTAAGTCAGAACCAATGGCACTTAACAAAAACAACTAAAAACTAAATAACTAAATATCAACAACTAAATAAGATTTTCAAAACAATGTACGTATGCAAGAAAACTATCATGAGGAAAATGATCATAAGTTGTCATTGAATATAAAATTGTAAGGTGCTTCCCTTCACTGATACAAACATGTTGAGTCCATAACTCTGGTGATATATAACAACGTTCCACTGTTTTTCATAAGGGTTTCAGTGGCTAAATATTTAGAAGTAGTGCACCTCTCCTTCTTCCAAGTCACTGGGAAGTTAGTACACACTAATGACTGAATATCAAAAGAGTTGTGGGATGACATCAAAACATTATACAGGAAGAAAACAAAAGTTCATTAAGAAGCTTTTTTCCACCCTGGGCCAGGAAGGGTGATGTGGCTGGGGCTTCGCCGGCCTCACTATGTCTGCCATTTTCAATTTTTAGAGTCTGTTGACTGTAATCTTGCTGCTTATATGTACCTGTGCTTATATCCGATCCTTGACATCCAGTGTCCTGGACAGAAATAAAACTGGATTGTTGGGTATATTTTGGAAGTGTGCCAGAATTGGTGAACAGAAGAGTCCTTATTTTGCAGTATGCTGCATAGTGATGGCCTTCAGGATCCTGTTCATACAGTAGCTTGGGAAAACTCCATAATTTAATTGTCATCAGATTTCAATATGGAAAAGGACTTATCTGGAGAAAATAATGGAAAGAATGGTTAACCCTTTTATCTTTGAACATTGAGTGATACACATTTCCAGCTGCTGTGCTCCAATTTTGTTATTGGACCAATGTTCTCTATAAATCATCAAGATGTAACCATTTAATACTCAATGAGTTTAATATGTCAATATGTCTGTAACAATCAACCTCAGTATTGTCACTACAATAGTACATTCCGCCAGTGTCGTTCTGTTGTATCAGATACCAAATTTTAGTGAGATATCTTTTGGGTGTATATATATAATACAAAACAAAATTGGTAATTATTACTCAAATTCTTTTCACTGTGATTTGGAAATGATAAATCTCTATAGAATGAGACCCTTTTTTTTTTAAGACTACCTTTTTTTTTAATGGGGGAAAAATGGCTCAATGTATGGTGGTAAGGATTGCATTCATATTTTACAAAGCTTGCTTTTCCACTGGCCACACCATTTTGAATGAACGTTAACAAGAGTACCTTGACCCTTAGGAAACTCTGTAGTTTATTATAGACATTTTTGCTATTTAAAGTAAGACTATGCGTTTCTTAAGAATGGAAATAAATGAGATGTGTCTTCAGAGTATTATTAGGAAAATGTTCATATTTAACATAACTTTAGACTAGTTGACTATATAGTAGCCTCTGAAACCTCTGGTCAAGTATAGATAAATGTCTTGATTACACAGATTTACCAGCTAATCATCTGTCTCTGAATAAGAATCTCCTTTCTTAGAATAAAAAGAACAAAACAGAACAATTATATATATATATAAAAAGTTCATTAAGAAGAAAAGAAAGAAGGGAAAGACCAAAATAGGTGTCAGAAGAGATCCTAAAGCAAAACGGGTGTCCAACAGAAAGATCCTAAAGCAAATGGAAGAAATGAACACATAAAAGAAAATTTCAAAGGGCAGCTAGAGAACATAGAGTCAAGTATTATATTGAAATTTGCAAAGACTTGGAGAAGAACACCTTCAGCATTTCTCAGGCTGAAAGAACAAAAGGAGAAATTCAGGCCACAACTTTCAAAATTGAAGGATTCTATGGGCAAAATGATCTCTAAATTCAGGAGGGATAAATTCAAGATCATATTTTGGCTCTCGTAGATTTGTTTTCATTTTCTTCAGCTTTAATTTGAATTTGCATATCAGT